AACAAAAATAATGAACTATCTACTGACAAAAGTGTTGCGGGTGTGTAATGATCATCCGTGCGACCGATCGATAAAGCCCGGCAATAATTGGGCCCCTTTTTTTTTAATACCATGGAACGATAATTCGAACGAGAATTAAAACTAACAGTTCTAGTTTCGATTTGGAATCAATAATCGGTCGAGTCATACGGTTCCGGGTTTCAATTTAATTCTGATTCAAATCCAATTTTGATCAGAAGTGCTGTGAAGATGATTCTAAATAGTTGATACATTTTGACGTATTATTCGATAATACATGAAATGGGTCAAAACTAGCTGTGATAAGATGCATTTGGAATACAAACCAAAACGTCGAACACTTCGCAGGCAAAGTATCGAGGGATGCTTGTGAAAGCTCACCCAGCAAAATTGACAGGTTCGGAGACTTGCTTATCGATCGCCATCAAGGAGTTGCTTCTCGTCACCTCACTATGCTTCTGCTCTTGGACTCGGTAATGGCCTCGGTAATTCTGTACATCCACCTGTCGAGCATTCCTGTTGATCAGCGGAGGCCCTGTCGCCGATGGAGAGGTGGGGAGAGGAAGGGGGGAGAAGAGAGAGACCACGGCGTTCCCCAATTAGATCGAGGGTTGCAAAACCCCATCCAGAAATCGCGGATCAAAATACCCAAGCGATGGACGGTCGAGATGCTCCCGCACCGAAACTTTTGATGCGGATCCTGATATCGAGTCCAATAAACTTTTCGGATCCGTACGACATCATGTGTACAAATCCAAATAGCTACAGCAATTATACGATCAAGCTCTAGTCGAGCCCGAGCCTATTGTGTTAACATAAAATCTATAAATCTTATCTGATCTATAAGCGTTCCAGGATCTGAAATATCAATATGCAAGGATCTACAAAAAGAACTAGATCCTTCTCCTCTCTTCCTATCAGATACACTGCAATACTTAGATGTAGTGCATGACCCCTAAAGGTCCTGTCTATCATATGCGCACAGATGATATAATTAGCCCCTAAAGGTCCTGTCTATTTATAGGCGAGAGCAATCCTACTTTAATATGGACTTCTTTTCTATTAGCCAATAACCATAATCAGAATCCAATAATATCTATAATATATCTTACCTAATTAAATAGGACCACATAATCTAACATATTGAACACTCAAATCAATTTGGACAACAGTCGTGGCAATTAACGTGCTTATGTTTCAGCAATAGCATTAGTATAAACCTATGATCTTCTTAAACTACTACCAATATTATTTCCCCCTTTCATGAAGGCAGTGATCAAGCTCTGTTGATCCTTTTGCAGATTGTGAGTGGTTATCAGGGCAATGAAGGACAGAGACACCATGTTCTTCATGGCTCGCTCAGACCTTCATGCATTCTAGTATGCAAGTGGGACATCAATCGTTTTGGGAAAAGATAAGCAGGTGGGTATTGTTGATCTCTGTTCTCAATGTCCATCACATGACTTTACAGTCTTTAACTTAGAAAGGTCTTGTAGAGCCTGCGATAGCATAGATCGAAGGATTCAGTAGGGGCATTACTAAGCTTTGTTCTCCAATACACAACCAGGGATGGGCATCAAAATACATGATACATTTGAGTCAGCACAATTCCCTCAGAAGTTGGGAGTTGACTTCTCTTTAGAAGCAAAGATGTAGTCGTTATTAACAACAAGGAGCTAATAAATTGTGAATTCAGTTTGACCTCTGAAGAGTTATTTGAGTTCTTCAGTACCTGGAAATTGGACTCACAACATGATCATCAGAAGCAAATCTAGGTGACTGCTACAGCAGGAAGTTTCTGCAGTGCCCAGAACAGCTGGTATGGAGGAGAAGCAGGAAATCTTTGAGCTTTGACTATTGTCATTCTTTCTGATTGTGCATATAAAATTAGATTTGAGATGTCAAGTCTTGAAAACACTAGAACTACCAACTTCTCATCTACAAACAAATTGCTCTAATTGTTTTCCAGTTTTATCAGCAAGGATGATCAACAACAGAAGCATATGTGGCTCTGCAGATGGTGGTTGAAAGCTGCCATCGATGGTACTACCTATGTTCTGTGATATGGATGCAGATTCTTGAAATGTCTCCCCGAGGAAAAATGCTTGTGTGCCGAGTTCATACTGGATATCAATTTTCTGGAGATCATGACATGTTTATCGAGTAAGACAAACTCAACTTCTCTGAGAGATCTTTCTCCTCTAATCTGGGGACAGGATCAAGAATCAAGCATCTATTTTGACCTTGAACATCCTCCGGGCAGCAGGAATCTGAACTTATCAGCATTCTCCAGCAGGTATGACGGAAGATGCACTGCTGAAGCTGATCTTGGTATTGGACCCATCTTCTTGATCAGCTCCTGGAAGCTATACTCCTCCGGCAACATGTCGAACAGATCTTCGCCTTTGCAGATGATCTTCTGAATTCTCGAGTGATCCAAAAAGCTCGATCGCCGCACGCGATCCGCGTGGCTGTATGCCGTCATCTTGAACACAAACTCCTCCATCGTTCTGAAGCAGAAGCTGCAGTGCCAGCCTGCGTCCGCCAGTATCAGGTCCGTCTGCCTCGAATGCCGATACCGTGTCCCCGGGTGGAACATGTGCGCCGTGGCTCGCCAACTGCTATAGTCCACTGGAAACTCGAAGGAGTACATGTAGTGCCTCAGCTCCAGGTGTATCACCGGTGGCACGCCACCGCACCACTGCAGGAGCTTGATCGTCTCAGTGCTTGGGATCTCATCCGCGTCGGACATGATGACGACGTCCCCAGGGGCGATGCCTGACCCGCGGAGGAGGGAGTTCAGGGCTACCCGCTGCTTGAACTCGAGCTGGAAAGGATCTCGGCCGGGCGTGCGATCGGCCTCGCCTGAGAAGATTCCGTGAACTATCTTCGAGCTCAGGAGCTCGAACCGGCCATAGTTCTCGACGAAATAGAGTGGCTTGGCGATGCCCGTGAAGGTGATGTTCGACTCGAGGATCACGAACTTGTGCACATAAGGAGCGAGCTCGCGGTACCGGATCTCGAGTATGTCGAGCTCATTGCTGAAGAGGATGGCGTCGAAGACGCGGCGAGGGGCGGGCAGGAGGCTCCAGCCGTGGAGGCGGCAGAGGTGATCCATCGGCAAGTCCTGCGCGTAGTAGTGCGGAAGGCGGACGAACGGGCGCGGCGGGGTGTCCCATATGGGGCGGAGGAAGTAGGATATCTGCTGGCGGTGGCAGACGATCACGACGAGGAGGGTAGGGAGCAGGAGAATGAGAAGGGCCAGGACAGGGCTGTGGTGGAGCTTCCTCTTGACCGCAGGGGGATGGGGGGATCTCCTGGCCATGCCAGGGGCCTACGAAGGTATGCAGGTTGATGCTGACAGCAGACAAAAGCTCAGAGCATGCTTCTTCGACATCACATGGAATGATCCTAACAAAAGTGACAAGAACGCACAATAAGAACGATCATTTATCAAGTTAAAATCCAAAGAAGGCAGCAAAGATCTGCGGCGTGTCATAATCAGAATCACCAAAATAGCTTCGGAGTTGCGATGCAGTGTGGATTCGGTGCTGCGTCAATGTCTCAACCGGTTGGCACCAAAACTGCGGATTTTACTGAAAGAATGAGAAAAAGAACTTTTTGAGCAATCTCTTGTGACAGGAAATAAAACTGTGGCACGATAGAGCATGAAGAGGATCGGTGCCATGTTAACCATACAAGCGTTGACATCTACAAGCCATTTTAAACATCAAGCAAGCACGGAGAACAAGCATCAAGTTCGGTTTTGTTTGATCCATTAATTAGTGCGTGCATATTCTAGCTAAAATCTCCTCAAAGAGATACCAAGAATCTAAAAAATCGCGTTTTTAACCCTAAAAAAAGGCCATCTATTGGCATTCATCTTCATCGAGCGCCTAATCGTTCCGGTGGCAGAAGAAGGGAACAAAACAGAGCCGCGTCAAACACCTAAATAAGAGGGAAGATGGTAAAAGAAAGGCGAAACCTGGCAATCGAGGGCAATGATTGTGAACTCAATTCGATTCGATCCCCAAATCTGCTTCGGAAAACAAAGGGCTGATCGACCGTATTGCCCCAACCAAAGAAGCAAAAGAAATGCAAGCCGGATAAAAGAGAAAGGAGGAAAGCTCACCTCAGGAGATCAAAGGTTAAAGTCCTGGGAGCAACCCTTGATTCTCTCCTTCTGTCTCTTTCCGTTTCCCTGTTTCCTCGTTAGAGGAGATCTGATTGACTCGCTCTCCAATCCTTCTTTTACGACCACTAAAAATGGCCATGGGAAGGAAGATAAGGGTGAGGCAGAAGCACTCACAGGTCACTAGTTTTTAATTTATTTATTTTTATCCAAAATAACATAAATACATAAATAGCTAAATTACTGTTACACCCTTAAGTATGTGAAGGACTCTCAATGACTTATGGGCTTTTAAGTAATTTAACATAGCAAGTGATGATATCACCATGATTGCATCTTTTACTGCGGTAGAGACCCTCCAAAAATATGGAACACAGGACTCCTGTAAACGCCGATGATCGCTGGACGCGTGGCGCATTTGTGATCATTGGCCGGAAAGAGTGTTCCCTGTGCTGTAGGTAGCGACAAAAGGATGTCTTTGACCGCTCTCGAATCAAATCAACATCGGATTGGACCAAATAAAGCGAAAAATAAATAATTATATATGTTTTAGGCATAAAATTAATTATATAATCAATGAGAAGAGACAAGCATATGAAATGGGGAAAATAATTAGACCAAGGTCACAATGGTAAATTAGAAGGACAGAAACCGTAACTTAAGATTTTGGATGTTATGAAAGTCAAAATACTATCAAAAATTCAAACCTTAAGTCAAAGAGGTGGAATTTGCGTGCTTTAGGAGTCGTAAAATCGATTGATCGAGCTTCAGATTAGATGCTGAAGAGATCTAACTAGAAGAATAATATGTAATTAATTATAAGTGGATCGGATGGGGGTAAACGGAATCCGTATATCCGATCCGCCATTAGGAACCCGCTACTCTCTCTGCGTCACTACTTCGATTGACGCCTCTCTCACACACTCTGATCGAATCGTGGGCGATCGACTCGCTCTAACGCGGGGATGGTGGCCCCAAACGCGAACGCCGGCGGTGACAGCGGAGAGGGATCAACAGAGAGTGTCGACGACCGGCGGTTCCTCCGCTGCGTGAACTGCGGCTCGGGGATGCGCTCGCTCTTCGTTCAGTACTCTCCCGGCAACATCCGTTTGATGAAATGCGTAAGCGAGACATACCGACATCTTCTCGCTGAACTTGTCCGCGTAATTGTTCTACTGACGTCGGGTTGGGTTCGTTTAGGAGCACTGCAAGGCGGTCGCTGACCCCTACATCGAGTGCGAGTTCATGGTAGTCTGCTGTCTCCCCACAATAAATATGTCGTCAACAATGTGTTTGTAGATATGCTTCTGTAGATTCTTGACTCGCAGTTTCGTGGGCTCGTTTACTGGGGTCGTAATTTTTACTTAAATGTGTCATTTCCCGGCAGCAAGTCTTTTTCCATTATGACTCGCTTAAATAAAGGGAATGGATCTCATAACATTTTAGCCCTATATACAAATGCCCTTACGGCAAGTTTGATACAGTCCCTGCTGCTGAGCTTGGGAATTTGTCAGCCGCTGGTTCTTTTTGAGCTTACTTCAGGTTTTTTTTTTTTTTTCTACTGTAGTATAGTCGATAACATGAATTTGTTTATGCAGATAATTCTGATTGATATGATCCTGCACAAGAGGAAAGCTTACCGACATTTGCTATTTAACATGCTGAACTTAGGTGCTGGCGACTCAAAGGCACAGATTTTGTTTTTGCCTCTTTGAATTTTTTTGTCAATTGCACTTTATACTTCTTTCAGGTCTATGTGCTGCACTTTTCATCTTTTTCCTTTTCCTCTAAATGCAGTAGTTTGAATTCCTTTTTTGTACTTGTAAAAACAGTAGAAGTCATTGCATTCTGATCATTCCATGTAGTCTTCAATTGACTTATTACAGTGTATTGTCTTTACAATCACCATATTTTTTCTTGAAAGCACAGATCTTGTCATTTCTTCTATTTATATTATCATCCACTGGAGAGTATAGCAAACACATGATGTGTAGTTGTCGTTCCATGCTGTTAGTTTTATTACTAATCCCGTGTTTTCCATTATATATCAGTTGCTGTTTGAACATTTTAACCAACAACTCTTATGGTTTTCGTTCATGTCTGGTTTCAAAATTATCAATTTTGACATTTACCTCCTCGACAGATTGGATAAATACGAGAAAAAATGTGCTACTGATTGGTTTCAATTCCTTGAGTCCAAGTCTTTTGATTGTGGAAACAATAGTCCAACACGACATTGTTGCTTCTATGCTATTTCCTTCTGGTGACACACGACTATTGAATCTTCACTTTCCAAAACCACTTCTCCTAGATCATACTCATGTAGGCTACTTGTAACTAAACTAACTATTCACAAAAGAGGGTGTATATAAAATGTCATCAGAGAACATGTTTTATTTCAGTTCTTACAGGATCAAGATGCAATTTTAGGTTATAGAAGAAACATATAGGAAATGGCACCTTTCCTTACTTTAAAATGCAGGGATTTGTAATTTCTTATTTTATCCATCCATTGTCCTGCAAATGCGTATCTTGACTTTTAACTTTTAAGTATATTCATGTTTTTCAAATAACTTATTCTGTTTGATTTTGAGATGGCTTTGCTTAAGAATGCAGAATAATAGACCTAGTGATTTGCAATATTGCATTATTTATTATGCATGAAGCACTCCTGTCTTGGTTATTGCTTATACAAGTTAATGGCTCACAATTTGCAGGGGATACTCTGGAAGTCAAGCTTACTTTATTTTCTTTTAGATGCATGTATCCATTCAGCTATGTTTAATAAATAATAATCTTTGCCTAAAATGTACAAAATTTTTCTTTTTTACCTAAGACCTTAACAATATAAGGCAGGTTTTCTCTCTTGAAGAACAGTAAAGCTTGTCTGGATTCATCCAGGAGCCTTTTGTTGTCATTTTTGACATGTGGAAAGGTGATATATCTCAGTGGTAGCAAACTAATATTGTTAGTGTTAACTTTACCAGTATTTTCCTGCCACTGATTGTAACGATGCTTTAACTCATTTGATTATAGGTGATGTTGGATGTTCTATTGGGAAATTTGATATTCATATCTGTTGTTCTTCTGGGAATTAGATTTCTGCTCAATTTGTCATTTGATGTTAGCAGGTTGGTATGTCACTTCTACTATAATTTATCAATCCCTATATCAATGATTATTCTTTTACCTGTTACTTCTAAAGGTATACATCCACAATTTCTCATTTGATTGATGAAGTATCTGTTGTTGGCAAAGTTTGTTCTTGGATCCACAGATTTTTAGCTTGTTGATTACTGTTTTTTGAATTTTTTTTGTTTAAAGCTTGTGGGTTAAATTTCATATCCTCAATTTTTTAATAGTATGTTATATGCAACTAATAACTTTATTATTGTGGTATATTTACAGCCATTCTATGAATTGAATTATTTAATAATCAGATTTTGTGTCAGTTTCTTGGAACTGTCACCTCTCCAGTGTTCAATGTCAAATTATTCAAGGCTATCTATGATTTTTCTTAATGTATTTTGTAATGGTTCACTCGGTTTCTAAAATGTTATTGTTGTGTTTCAGATACAGACAAATTCTTCTGGCAATTCTTGTTTCAAGCTACTTCAAGTTATTTTTAGTAGCAATGATGGTATGCATTCTCAATTCTTCTGCTTGAATGTAAAGTAATATTCCATCTAGAGGATACCTTATGATTTGTGTAAAGAGTTACTTTTGCTTTTGCTTATATATCTATTTGTTTGCTGTGTACAGGTCTGGGAGTTCCCATCTTCTGTTCTTCTTGTCATTGACATACTTGTTATATCATCAAATGCACTGGCTTTAGGAGGTTTGAATTTGAAACACTAAATTTTATGTGTTTCACTTTGTTCAAATGCATGCATTAATTTAATGACAAGTACCGCTCTTCAAAGAACTTTAAATGCACAAGGTTCTAAATCTTTGAGATAGACATCAACATATCGCACTTAATTAAAAACATCAACATATTTGTCCCTCCAAATATGTTGACTAAGCTTAATTAGTCAAGGTTCTAATTAAGCTTTGAGATAGACATCAACATATTTGTCAAGGTTCTAAATCTTTGAGATAGTCAAGGTTTTAGACAGACAAGGTTTGAGATAGACAAGGTTTGAGATAGAACTTTAAATTAGTCAAGGTTCTAAATCTTTGAGATAGACAAAGCTTTGAGATAGACATCAACATATTAGTCAAGGTTCTAAATCTTTGAGATAGACATCAACATATTAGTCAAGGTTCTAATTAAGCTTTGAGATAGACATCAACATATTAGTCAAGGTTCTAAATCTTTGAGATAGTCAAGGTTTGAGATAGAACTTTAAATTAGTCAAGGTTTGAGATAGTCAAGGTTTGAGATAGACAAGGTTTGAGATAGTCAAGGTTTGAGATAGTCAAGTTTTGAGATAGTCAAGGTTTGAGATAGTCAAGGTTTGAGATAGTCAAGTTTTGAGATAGTCAAGGTTTGAGATAGTCAAGGTTTGAGATAGAACTTTCAATTAGTCAAGGTTCTAAATCTTTGAGATAGACATCAACATATTGCACTTAATTAAAAACATCAACATATTTGTCCCTCCAAATATGTTGACTAAGCTTAATTAGTCAAGATAGACATCAAGGTTCTAAACACTCAAATGACTAAGCTTTTATGAACATCTTGCACTTAATTAAAAACATCAACATATTTGTCCCTCCAAAGATTTCAGGGACTCCCATTCTCACTCTTTTTCTTGTTCTTAACTGATTATCCTTTTCCCTTTACACCCCTTATTTTTAGATTTCAGAAACTCCTTGCAAAGACATTGCATCTCTTAGCTTTACATTTCAACTTATCTCCTTTTCCCTAACTGCAATTTTGCTGTAGAACATTTATTTTGTTCCCTCATACTTTACTAATATTCACATTGGATCAACAGAGGCCTAAACACGTGTTGCTAGTCAATAACAGCTAGCACTCTATAACTGACCTTCTTGTTTGGATATATAGAATTTGCTAGTATGGTAATGTCTGCTCTATGAACTATCATGTCTATTTAGTATCTCCACAAACCATTTGGCATATGGTAACAAGGGCTTACCGTGTTAAGTGTCTTGGCTGCAGTTTTGATTGTTGTTCATGCTATTTTGCTACATGTGCTAAAGTTTTATAATTTTCTGTTTACAGTGGTAACAGAGTTGCAGACTGCTGGGTGCCTTGGAGTGTGCTTTGGTGCACAAGCAGCCAAGTTCTTTAGTGATCGTTGGTTGTTACATCTATTATCTGGTTAGTCTTACATTGTTACATATCTTATATCTTTAGTTGCAGAAATTTGTATTCTGAAACAGTTCAACTATGCTTGAAAGCCCTTCCGATGACATTACCTTAGCACATGATGCTGATTACTCTGATGAGCATGAGGTGCTACAACTTAGTTTTGTCTTGCAAATCATCATAATACTTATTAGATAAATGAATTCTGACTAAGTCATTGGCTACAGCACCTGTTACCGGGTTTGTCTTAGATATCTTCCATGCTTGAATTGCAAAATTTGACTTGTCTATATAGAAAGAGTGCAACTATGGATAAAGGCCTTCCTTTAGCAACATGATGGTGCTGATTGCTCTGATGGGCATGAAGTGCTACAACGTGGTTTTTCCTGCCATATCATCTTCTTTTTTTTCTACGGCAAGGATTGTGGTTTGGAGAAAAGTCATGCATTGGATACTTCACCTCAAAAACACTTGCCTGCCTCCTCACCCTGAGAAGCTGGTTGTGGAGTGTTTTTCCTTTACAGCATCTACTAAGCAGCTCCTGCCATGCAAAGTAGTCTCCTTAGCATTCCTTGCCCTTTTAATTTGAGACTTGGATTTTGCTACTTGTCTTGTGGTCTAAGTTGGCCATCTATGATGGGTGCTGTATCAGTTGATGCTCAGAAATTAGCTCTATAAACTCTTCAGGAACCTAATCAAAGTTCTCAATTTCAACACTTTAGCCAGGAAATATCACTTCTAAGCAGTCACAAAAGTGGATGTGTAGAGGAAATGTAATGATCCCACTTGATGCAGGTTAGAGGCCACATGACAAGGTTCTTGGAGCATGAGATGGGGATGGCAAAGCTTATGTATTCTTGCTTGGTGTATGAATGCACTGGTCTTCTACCTTGACATGGTGATAAACTCTTAGCCAAATCATTTTCTGATACTGCAGTTTCTTTGATATGTGAAGTCGATGAGAACAGATGTGTGGTTTGCCATGAATGAAACATCAAGCTGTCATGCAATTTACCTGCTAGGTTCAAACTGTGACATGCTTCAGGAGCATGCTAATGGCATCTACATGGGTACTTGAGGATGTATCCTTCAAGTACTGGATCTTAATCTCTGTATCCTCGTGAAGCCTCTTCACATTCCATCCAGAACTAACTTTTGTCTGCATTCAGCTCAGAAACAAGCATTTTGAATACATTAACAAGGCTAATAATCCCATATTCCCTTGGAACATGAGAGCTCAGCTGATGTAAATCACAAAGCCATACGATGAGGAAGGAGGAAATGCAAAACTTCATCAAAGCATCAGATTATGCATTTTGCATGAGACTGTGATCATAATTCCTGTGCCAAAATCAATGGAGGAAACACAGTTACTTGCTCTCCCAGAAAGCCCTAAAAATTAGGTGAGTGTCTGAACTCGAGGTTATTGGACTTTTTTGTAAAGATCAGAAAACTTGGATGGAGGAGAGTTGATCACAATGTTATGGTCAGAAAATTTCTCACACAATTCTTTAAGAGAGAGAGACTCTTCAAGTTCAGGTTTTGACAGATGTGCTGAACTGTTGTCTTGTCGTATAAACCATAAAGGCATAGCATGCAACCAAGGCAACACAAGCCACCAATATGTGTAGTAACTGTTGTCTCATCCACACTGTTTTTTAGGGTCAAATGAAAGCTTTTATGAGAAGTAGGTGATTCATGTAGCAGCCTGTGTTATCTCGAGGATCAGTAACCATTTCATGCATTATTTTCATACATTCAACCATTACTCTTTATCTTGGCATATTCATAATGGCAGCTGCAAGGCTTGGTAATTGAAGCAAAACTAGCTACTGTGCTTCCTGAAACTTGTACAGTTGAAGTCGGTGAGTAATCTATAGCTTTTACTTTGAATTGGAATGCAGTTCATAAGTGATTATCTCATTTTATAGCAAGAATCTGGTTCTCTCTTGAGGGGAAAAAAAAAACATGTTTCTGATTCCAAAAACAAGAAATTGTCATCTTGACTCTTTTGAAGTCTCCAAAATCCTTGCTACTGCTTGAGCTAAGTTGGGTTACTTGCAGCATCAGTGGATGCAGATGTTTCTCCTACCAGATAACTGAAGTCCACTGTTACTATACTCCTGCCATGGTTCTCTGAACCTTTTGTTTTGAGGAGGTCCCAATGGGAGGGAGTGGAGCACAGATTTGAGAGTGGGGCAGATGGCTGACTACATGAAGACAACTGTGGAAAGATCTGGAAAAGACAACAATATCTTGTGGACAGGTAGTGAATCTGGTTATTCTATCCATGCAAACAACAAAACAATCAAGATATACAAGAGTATATGGAATTTACTGTCTTAACTCTGACCAAGAAATGGGGTTTGCATTGAAGCTCAAAGTTTCATTCAACTGTGGGAGATGCCAAGGGATAATTACCAAGTGGCAGATCTGAGATGAGGTTGCACAAGAGTTGAGGCAGGGAGTTTTGGATCCTTTGACCTTAGGATAGCTCATGAGCAAGAGTCAACCACAAATAGTTTCTTCACTTGATTTGGTTGGTCATTAGGCACTTCAAGATTCTTTGAACCTTAATCTAAACCCTGTTGATAGGACTATGTGACAATTTTCTAAATGTTAGACATTATGCCTTACAAGTTTTTTTTAATACAACTCAAGCTCTATTTTTTTTCCTTTTTCTTTTCTGGGGGTAGTTTTGGAGGATGTGGAGCTTTCACAGCCTCTTCTGTATGATGGGAAATGAGATAGAATGGCACAGAAAGGCAACTAATCAGAGAGGATTTGACCAAGAACAGAACAAGGGTTGGACTTAATAAGAGGGTTGAAGTGAAAGTAGACAAAAAATGAATGCATGCATGAGTGATAGAAAGACCAGTACCTGCTATGGATTATTCCTTGAATCTGAAACCATAAATGTCTCCAAAGAATCTTGAAAGTTCTACTTGATGGTTATCATCTGTGGGTGAAAAGTTCACTGAAACAAGTTACTGATACATGAGAGAAGTAATCTACATATCTACAACTGTTGCTTCTCTTTGGATGCCCTCATTCCCCCTCTGGTCTCCGACATGCAGTACCTGCAATTATTTGATAGCACTGTAAACCCATAAACCCTAGCACAGACAGATCTGCAGAGAGAGAGAGAGATTAGAGCTGATCATTTCACTTGGCAAGATTAGATTCCTTTGGTGTCTTTCTTCCCACAGCATGTTTACCACATGGATCAGAATTTCTAGAAAAGCTTTGAAGGATCAGAAGAACTTAGGAGAAAGAAAGTTGTATGTCACAGTTGACAGATGCTGTTCATGTCATTCTCAGATGGCTTTAAACGATCCTTTTGGTCAACCGTGCACATAGTAGGTGCTGTGAGGAGTGAGAGTACAAGACATGGCATGTCCCCAGGAAATGGGTGAAGTAAAGAGATGGAGGGAAGGAAGAAGTACTCGGTGCTGCACCCAAACAAGATGGATGGATGTTACTGTTACTGCAGTAACTCCATGGATTCCTCTTTCGAGTGTAGATGATGAGCAGCCTTTCCTTGCCGGCACTGTCGGTAAGGCTTGAAGAACAAAACAGCAGTCACTTCACACAGTGCATGCATGAAGAGATGCGTACTGCTGCGGACAGATTCATCTTGAGGTGATCAACCACAAGTTTGATCTCCTGAAGAAGCATATGAGTCAGCAGGAAAAGACTCGAGATATCAGAAACATGATTGCTTTCCTATCTTCCTCTACCTGGGGAGAGAACTGTGTGATAAGGTAACATCCATCGTGCAGAGAGTGATACAGTCATGGAATGACATGCATTAAAAGAGTTGTTTGTCTTTGGTCGAATGCATCACCACATCAACCGCATGTCCTCTCTTCTGCTCAACATCAATGGACATACAGCCAACATATTATATGAGCATGATGACGCAGAAGAGGATACGCACA